AAGCGCTCCTGTATGTAAGCTATACAAGAACGCGTTTAGAAAAGCGCTCTCGTAAGAGCTGCATTTACGGGAGCGCTCTATGTAAGAGCGCTCCTGTATGATGCATACTGGAGCGCTCTCTATAGGAGCGCTCCCATATGCTAAGCTTACTGGAGCGCTCTTTACAAGATCGCTCCTGTATTCCCCCATACGAGAGCACTCTTTATAGGAGCGCTCCCATATGACGACAACTTACCGGAGCGCTCTTTTAAAGAGCGCTCTCGTAAGTTTCTTTACAGGAACGCTCTTCAAATGAGCGCTCCCGTATATTATATTTTTTTTAAAATTAAATTTTTTAAATTTCTCCTTTTAAATATCTTTAATAATGGCAAATCATAATATCAAAAACTAATTTAAAAATAATATCAACATAAAAATTTTATATACAAGAAAAAAATTTAAAACTGATATAATAATTTCAATTTTCTAACTAACCTAGTTTAATTTCTAACAAGCCTAACAAATGAAACTATTGTTATTTTTTTAACATTAAAATCTAACTTCCTATCACAAACAGCCAATAATATATTCTGACCATTCTTCAACTAAATCTTCTATTTGCTCCATAGTAAAATGCGAATATCTTGCTCCAACAAAATACTACACAAGATATGAAAGCAATATATAAGTAATTAACATTATATTAACTTAATTTCAAAGCTTTTGACTTACATTTTCAGAAATGATCAACTCTTGTTGTGTGATTACTTCTCTCATAAACTTCATAACATAGTATCCACACTCCCAACCTTGTAATTGTGTAGGTACCTATAAAACAATAAAAGATGTCATTTATATGGTAGAAATAAATTCTAACTTAATTTAAAATACTTCAGTTATGAAGTTATATATATGATATAAGTATTTGCTATCGAAAATTCGACAGAGTCTCCCCTATAACTTGAAAATTCCAAAATTTTCCTAAAATTCTACATCAATCTAGAACAACATATTCAAAATAACAAACATAAAATATCAATCAAACAATCATTTAGATATGTACCAACTTGTTTTATTAAGAAAATAATACAAACCTTTATTCTTTTTCAAGAATAAAACTCAACAGGATCAGGTCTTTCGGTGTTTGGAGGGAGACCTTCACCTCCTCGATAACGTGCTACAGCCCTATTATATAATGGTTAAGCATACCAAGTAAAAATTAATTATTATAATAAACATATATAAAGAATATAGAACTAAAAACTTACTGATTAAATAATATCCTCATAGATTTATAGTTCTTAAAGTCACTATCTCTTAATGAATCAAGATAATAAATCACAGGGATGAATGGATTGATACAAACAATACATCTAAACTAAAAAAATTAATTCATCCAAATAAAAATTTAGTACCATAATGCATCTAAATTCTGTCAATCAATTGTAATTTAATTAATAATAATAATCTCCCATAAAAGTATATTTCATAAATAAAATAAAAATGTTCAAGTAGTTTCCTCAACTTTAATCTAAATTATCAACTACAAATACTCCATAATTTTAATATAAATAACTTCAATTCATATATTATCTATAATATTTATTATTAAAAAATATTTAAAATTTATTCTCAAATATATATAAATTAATTATTAAAAAAATACCTTCAAAGTGTAGTTTTCACGGCAGCAGCGACGTCGATTCCTCCACTGTACAGCAGCGGTGCACAGCGACAATGAAGGTCTTCATGGCGTCCCTTCCTCTAGTGTACAGCAGCAGCACAGATCTGCAATAGCAATATAGATCTGAAACAGAGATGCAAATCTGGAACAGCAAACAACAGACAACAAACAGCAAAGCAAACAGCAGAATAGATGGATGATGATCTGCAACAACAATACAGATCTAGAACAGAGATGTAGATATAGAACAGCAGAAAAAATGGAGGCACAGCAACGGTGACGCAGAGATTGGACAGCGACAGTGCGGCGGCGGCGACACAGAGACTGGATAGCGATGCGACGCAAAGATCGGACAGCGACTGCCCCGTGGCCGCGACGCAAAGACCAGACAGTGACACAACGCAGAGATCGGACAGTGATTGCTCGGCGGCGGCGACGCAGATACCAGACAGCGACGCAACGTAGAGATCGGATAGCGACTGCGTGGCGGCGACGACGCAAAGACCAGACAGTGACGTGACGCAGAGATTGGATGGCGAATGCGTGGCGGCGGCGACGCAAAGACTGGACAGCGACGCAACACAGAGATCAGACAGCAACGGCGGTGGTGATGCGGAGACAGACGGCGACGCAGAGGCGACGGCGATGCGGCATAAAAATAGAGAGAGATGCGCGACACAAAGAAGGAATGAGAGGCAACAAAAGAGAGAGAGGTTTGAAAGAAACTAAATGGAGAAAAGAAAATTGACAGATGGATATAATGTGGGAAGACTCTTCTGGAGCGCTCATTATCAATGAAGAGCGCTCCGGAAGCTCTATTCTTCTGGAGCACTCTTCGTCGAGCGTCCGGAAGAGCTCTTCTTCAGGAGCGCTCTTCGTCGAGCGCTTCGGAAGACTTCCCTCTTCAGGAGCGCTCCAGAAGATGAGATCTTCCAGAGCGCTCTTCGTTGAGCGCTCCGGAAGAGCGATCAATCTTCCAGAGCGCTCCGAAAGGTTTTCTTTTGGAGCGCTCTTGAACGAGCGCTCCCGAAGGTATTTTTAAATTTTTTGTCATATTTTTATATATATTAATTAGGAGTGTTATCTTATTGAGAAGCCTGACATACAAGAGCGCTTATTTAGAAAAGCGCTCCGGTAAATTCCACATTCACATTTTGGAGCGCTTTTTAAATAAATGCTCCTAAATACCCACTCCTAAAGATATATTCTGTAGTAGTGAGCGTCAACTTTCACCATTATTTGTCGTGACTTAAAGAAGACTTGGACCAATTCAACAGCACCGACACTACCAGCAAGCATTGGAGCCATTTACTATGTCTTGTCTCGGGTCAGACAGTTTTTGTATAAACTATAAATCTTATGGCACTGTTGTAGTTGATCAAATTAATTTCATTGATACTTAGTAATATGGAAATGAACAATAAGCCACATGTCATTTTTTGGCCTGTTAGTTATTCTACCTAAATTTGGACTGCATCCATGTCTCAAATCAGATAAAAAGTAATTAATGTATGCATGTTCCACGAGTGTCAGGACACAATACATGGAAGTTCCTGCATGGAAGAATATAATGATCATACATATGTCACACCTTAAAACTAAAAATATGACTGACATGAAATATGAGATAACTTTATATTCCACGAGCACTGACTAACCAAAGATTGAGCTAAAATATTGACAATTATTTTATGCATATAATTTTAAAGTTTGTAAAATCTTAAATATTTTGTAGAAATTTTGATAAAGTCTCCTCTATAATATAAACCTCTTGAAATTTTCACAATAGCAAAATCTGTCAGTCAATTCATCAAAGGAGCCTAGCTCCACACCAACAAATTATATATATCAACAAAAGAAAACTACGACCTGACCATGATATATGTGGAGCACTAACTTATAATTACATAAAACAATACATTTATATGAAAATACCCAAAACTACTTCCACTATGCAAAAATGATACTGTCCCTCAACGATCAGCATACATGGTCATCTACAATATTTGAGACTAAAGAAATTCTATCAAATAATCAATAACACAAGGCAACATTCAACTATTATCATTGACACAACTCTTATTCCAAACTTAACAAAATCTTAATTATCATTTACTCTAATAATTTTTCCTTTAGGTGTTGTAAAATTTCAATAGGTAGATCAACTTTACAATTTATATGAAGGCATATGCTTTCTCAAGTAGTAAATATAACTCCTCTAAACTCTACTATGGAAATTAAATAATTTTATTCCGACCAATTTCTTCTTTCAAATATTCATACAAGTACCTTGGGAGCATTTTTGATTGACCAAAATTATAAGATGAGAATTCAAGCAATTTTAACAACTTTCAAACTTCCAATTCCACAACCACATTCAGTTCACCATCATAACGAAATAACATCCAACATTAATCGAAATTACACCTTAATTCCTTCTAAAATTTCTAGATTGCAGCAACAAAATATAGGTGCAGCTTCAATCAGCCAGAGGAAGTAAAAATGATGATTCGGTGCTGCTATAGAGATCGAAGAGGAAGGAGAAATAAAACAGCCACTCACCTCAAACGAAACAGCAGTGCCATCACCATAATCAGCACCTAAACGAAGCTGCAGAAGGAAAGGAGAAGGATTTCACTCTGCTACACTAACGAGAAGAAGAATCAATAATTGCCAGCCAGCAAAAGAGATAATTCAAGAATATTCTAAGGTGTGAAATCACGCGCTTGCTTGCTATAAATTAACGTGCTTGGTGTGTGGTACACTGAGGAAGATATATCACAAGCATCGATAAGTGACTGTAAAGCATACCATAACAATTCAATATATATTATCAGCCTCTCATCAATAACATTTTGCTTGACTAGATATATATATATATATATACATCAAAAGGTAGAATTTAAAAATGACAAAAGCTTAGCAAGGACAAATTCTTGGGATCATCAGTCCTTTTCCATCATCAAACAGTAGTAAATTCATGCTACAGGGGGATTATTTTCAAGAACATGTATCACCAGGTGCTCGGCTAGGAATTGATGATATGATAAGTTAAACAATCAGCACATCGATCTGTTTGTTTCGTCATAAATATTCTTGGCAATCTGCTTCCCATATTTCTCAATGAGCATATTAATTTAATGAAAACTCAAACATGCTTGGCTATGGTCTGCTTATAAATTTAGGTATTAAGTCGACCTCTTTTCTCCTAAATCTGATGGATCTGATGATATTACTTCAAGTTGCGCGGTGCACAATGACGTTAAACTTCATATAAAAATGATGATATCAGTTAAAAAAACAATTTAGGATAAAACCAAAATGATTAATCCTTTTAAAAAAATACTTGGTAAGCAAACCAAGCCATCAATACACATATTTTATTCGTTGACAATCCATCTAGTTTACAAGAGCGATGAAAAGAAAAGCTTAAGATACTTGGAATCATGATTTACAGTCTTGCCAAAGCCAACTTAATGTACACCTAATCATGATCACATCCATCAAAAAGCGTTATCCAACATAAAATAGCATGATAAAAATAAAGAAAAAACAATGAAGCACACCCCCCATATATATGAACACCAAATGATCATCTGCCATCCGCAATCTCTAATGCAATGTCCTTTAACATTGTATCATAGGAAGCTGAAGTACCTGCGGCAATAGTTGCCCCATACATATCAGGTACATGACCAAGTAAGTATTCACTTTCTTCTGACATAAGATCTTCACCTTTCACCCACGGATGCTTTTCAATTGCAACAAGACCCTCTAGCTCTTTCGCTACTTCCTTCATAGTGGGTCTTTCCTCTCCTTTTACTTTAACGCACCTCCATGCCAATAAGGCTACTTCTTTCAGCTGATTTGTATTATTTCCATCATACACTTGTTTGTCAAGAATTTCCCACAAGCGATCTTCTTTCATTGAAGACACAAAATACATAGCTAGATTTCTTTGTTCTGGCATACTAAATTGAACTGCTTTTTTGCCTGTGAGTAGCTCTACAAGCACAACCCCAAAGCTATACACATCACTCTTCTCATCAAATTGACCAGTATGGAGGTACTCTGGATCCAAATATCCAAGAGTCCCTTGTACTACAGTGGTAACATGAGTTTCATCAAGAGGAACAAGTCTTGAAGCACCAAAGTCAGATACTTTTGCTTTGAGATTATGATCTAAAAGTATATTGGTAGATTTAATATCCCGATGAATAATTGGAATGGAAGCAGAAGAATGTAAATATGAAATGGCTTCAGCAGTCTCTACAGCTATCCTTAATCGGGTCTCCCATGAAATAGAAAACTCATTCTTCAAAGGATCAATGTGATCAAGAAGAGTGCCATTATCAACAAACTCATATACTAACAAAGGGACTTCAGTTTCAAGACAACACCCTAAAAGTTTGACTACATTTCGGTGATTGATTTGAGAAAGAACAAACACTTCATTGATAAAATCCTTAATTTGTCTAGGATCTCCTCCTATTCTAGACTTCTTAATTGCAACATGTCTATTGTCCTGTAAGATACCATCATAAACTGTGCCTTGTCCCCCGCGACCTAGAATTCGACATTGATCAAAGTTGTTTGTTGCATTCTTAAGCTCAACTTCTGTAAATATTTTGATTCTATCTGTGTAGCCTTGTTGTTCAGAAAGTTGTTGCAATAATATGTTGCCTCCATTTTGCTCAAAATTTCTTTCTCTAAGTTGTTTTAAAGTTCTTTGCTTGCGTGCCCAACATAATGTGGAGACCAGTGTGAAGACAGCTAACAAGGCCACACTCACACCTGCAAGCAATATGGTCCAAATATGATTTTGAGCAAAATCATATTTAATTTTAACTTAAAAAGTGCATATTTAATTTAATGATTATAATGCTTCTAATGATCTCCTCCAACCCAATATCCAAAATGAATCGTCCCTTGAATAAATAAACCGATATTGATCAAAATGGTAATGAGCTCAAACAAACTGATCAGATTACATTAGTATTTTTCAAAAGATGTGCATGCTAGAATTGTGTGTGGGGATTTATGTTGAGACCATGCATGTCATGTGAAAGGCATTTCAAACTTTTATGAGGCAAGCTACCCAATTAAAAATTTATTCCTAAAATATAATTACGAAATTCATGAAAAATTATTATTTTTAAAAATGATTCCGAAAAAAATAAAAACAAAACAGCTAGAGTCCTCCATATTAACTCTCTCACCTAATGCAATTATAAGAATACTCAAATTTTGATTAGATGGAGAAGTGTCCAAACTACAGCCCGTTCCATTGTTGTAGGCGATGCCTTTGTATCCAGGCGGACAAACACATTTGTAGGTACCATTCAAATTGATACATTGGCTGTGTATACTGCAGTTATTGGGTCTGCTGCACTCATCAACATCTGAAATTAAGAAAAAAGGTAATGTCTATCAATATTTAATGAATTGATAAATACCATTCAGTACATTAACCATCAGTAAGTCTGTATTATTCAGGATTTCAGGAATCTTTTGATGCGAGATTGAGAAATTTCTTGGGGAGAATACCAATAAAGACCCCTTGATCATATTTATTTTGAATTAAAGCCCCTAAATTTATGAAATATTATTGCAGTCTAAGGGTCCTAATTTAATATTAAATTTTTAAGGGAAATGATAAAATTGATCCTCATTTAAATTAATATCAGAGCTGCCATACTTCAGTTGTTTGTTGCCCTACTTCATTTTCTTATTTACTTTTGAAATGTTATTAATTATCTTACTTCACTTAATTTCATTCCAGGTATTTATATCATCTTAAAATAACTTGTTAATTCTTATATTATATGTTATTCATTTACTTATATACTATTTTTCATTACCCTACTTCACTTGTTTATTATTCTACTTTCACTTGATTTCATTCCAAGTGTTTAAACCATCTTAAGATGACTTGTTTATTCCTATATTGTATGTTATTAATTTATTATAAAATTCTGTTTATTGGCTTAATTATTTCACTTGTTCATTGCCAAACTTTCAATTAATTTCATTTAGAAAAAATGAACAAATGAAATAGGAGAATTAACAATATTTCGTAAGTAAATGAAAAGCATGGCAATTCTGATATTAATTTAAATGAGAGAGAATTTTATCATTTCTCTCATAAATTTAATATGAAATAAGGACTCTTAAATTGTAGTGATACTTCAAAAATTTAGGGACTTTAGTTCAATATAAGTCTAGTCAAGGGGTCGATATTTTTTCAGCCGCTTGTGTATAAACAAGCTAATATCTATGCTGAGTTAATTGCTTACTTCACACAAATCATTCTACAGTCTTGACGGAGCCTTCTCATGATTGAAGTCCTTTCCATTTTATTTTCAAAAAATAAATACTCCCCTTGTGCTATTCATAGAAAAGAGAGAATATTTATTTTAAATGTATTTATAAGGCACCTTAATAATTATTATGTTTATTTTTATCCTTTTACCCCTCGTCAATGTTGGATCATTAAATGATAAAGTAATTTATTTTTAAAGTATGTATATTTAATAAAAGTAGAGTTAGAAACTTAATGAATTTTTAAATAAAGTTAATGAGATTTGAACTTTTCCTTAATTCTAATAAAAATGCTGAAAATGACTTATACATAGGATTAGGAGGAGTATTATCATTATCAATATATCAATTTTATAAGCTGTATTTCTAATAGTGATGATGAACAGTGCAATTTTTGGTGCCTAGGTATCTGCAATACAAGAGAAAATACTAATTTTGTAGCAGCTATTTCTCGTGGGGAAAAAAAAATTGATAGAGAATTTCTCGTGCTTTTTCTCACGAGAAAAAAATTCTCAAGATTTTCTCAAGGAACTTACTCACAGAAGAAAATCTATATAAAAAAGAAGTACTAGAATTATTTAGAGAATTACCATGGCACCCATTTGGATGGTAAGGATTGCCCTCAAAACCGGGTTTGCATATGCACTTGTATCCAACTCCATCACTGGAATCCACACATTCTGTGTTGGATTTGCAGGCATAGTCTGCTTTACTTCTGGAAGCAGTTCGACAAGTAACATTCGAAACACTCCAATCTAGTACCACGGGGACCCTATCATAGGGAAAGTCACGTAGGTAATCGAAGGAGAAATGAAACCAGTCATGTTTGACAATAAAACCATGGCTGCAGTTGTTGAAGGTCAACACGTTGGTATGATTAAACACGCTTACTGCTACAAAACTGATGTTATTGATTCCCACAGGAATATCCACCTGGCAACATGCTGTCCCGGAACAAGTTTTATCGTCAATCTCTTTAGGGGGAGGTGAGTAACATAACGCCACGCAACCAGTGTAATGTGTGAAGTTGTTCCGCAAGCTGTTGTTCTGGAAATAAATCATGCCCAGAGTGTCACAACCAACACTTACGAACTTGTTTTGGGTGCTGGAAATGGTGAAGGTCTTGGTGTAAAGAGAACGTAGTTGGCCCGTTTGATTGTAACAGCCCTCGGAGACAAGCATGAAAATGTCCATTTGATGTTGTTGGAGAGATATGCTAGAAACTGTGATGTTATCGAAGTATAATGTGGACGTGGAGTTGTCACAAGTGAGATTGAATGACTGATCCAAGAAACAATTTCGAGAAGTACCAGGCTGCACCCCGACACCAAATGGATATGGAATGTCGACGTCTCCGCATTTGTCGGGACATCCGGCAAGGGATTGAGCTTCAGTTGCTGCCATGGTCATGGCAAGTAGATTGATGAGAAGAAGCAGCTTCATCCTCATCATCACTTTCTCGGTGGAAAACATGAGAAAAGTGTATAACTTTTTATAAGTAAACTATATTGGGTCCTGTGTGTTGTTTCCCTTAGTTTGAGGTAAGCCACAGTGTTCATATATAGTTTATAAATAAGGTAATTTCTTAGAAATGATGTGTGTGATGAGAGGAGGGGAAAGATGATATTGATAAATGATAATGGATGCAACAGAAGTCAAATTACGCAACGTAATATATATGTGAATAAGCGACAGAAAGGTTATTTATCGTGGAAGACCTGGACTGGATGACCAATTCTGCAGCCACACGTCTTCTGCATGATGCAACAAAGTTGATTAATGCGCACATCGGCAAAAAAAAAAAAATCCCCCTAAAGACTGAAAGAACGCATATTTGCAAGTCCATAAATGTTTTATAATTTTAAGGAAGACTTGGACCAATTCAAGCGAAATTTTTTTATTATGTGCATAGGTAGGGGCACGGTAAGATATGCTTGCGAGAGGATGGGTATCATGGCGCTCGTCATCCTTGGGCCGTCCAAATTTAAAAGTCAGTTAGGTTGTTTTTTTTCTTTATTTTGTATTTTAAAAAGAAATTTTATAAAAATTATAAAATTTTTTAATAAATGTGCTCATCATCCATTTGAACAATTTAAATTTAATCTGGACACATTGTACAAATTTAATATTATTTTTTTATAATTTTTATAAAATTGAATGTTCAGATTTATTTTGAATGGTCCAGATTTAATATTAAAAACTTTTATAAATTTTATAAATTTTCATTTTAATAGATACAATATCCAAAATAAAAATAATTTTCTAATTGGCACTTTTTAAGAAAATGATTTTTTTTAAAAAATACAAGTTCCATAGATACAATTAATGAAATACTCCATCAAGTGCTATTTATAAGTCACTTTTAACATTTTTATTGGAACCAAAAAAAATCAAACACTCCATTAACTCTATCTAAAAATTCAATAAGTATATAATTTTACCACTATTAAATATATATATTTTAGAAATAATTATTAAAAAAATACAATGGTGCTCGCAAAGGAGTGTATGTAGTGCACTCATTCAAAGGAAGCTGCCGCCCAAGTGAAAAGACCCAGGGAATTTTTCTATTCCTTATACTATCAGTAAATTAACTATTGATAAGTGTCTATGTCACTTGGGTGCTGCTGTTAATATGTATGTAGGAAGCTTGGGATCACTAACACAAAACGAACAAATACCACCCTACAAATGGTAGATAGATCGCCGAAATACCATATGACATTGTGGAAGATCTCTTGGTGAAAGTTGATAATCTCTATTTACCTATTGACTTCATAGTGTTAGATTTAGAAGACGAGAGGTATATCTCTCTTCTTAGGCAGACCATTCCTAGCCATTGGGATGTTATGATAAATGTTTTTAAGGGATAATTAATTTTTCAAGTAGGTAAGAATAATGAAATCTTTAAATTTGCCAAATCTACTAAACACCCTATTTTTCAAGATACTTTTTGCTACCCTCAGGAGGAAGCTAGGGAGACAGTTGAACAGCCATCCTCCACATGCTATAGAAGAGCAAGCACCCCTCTCACCTTTAGATGGCGCTCCTTGACTCCATAGTATTGTCAAGCTAAAGATATTAAGCATAGTGTTTATTGGAAGGCAACTCAATTTTTTTATTTCTTAAATTAGTTCCTATTTTTATCTTCAGCATCATTTTCGTTTATAAATTTTAATTTTCTGTGTTTTGTTTTGGTAATCCCTTTTAATAAGACAAAACTAATAACGAGAAGATCAAATAAAGGGCCACGATCAGCCCATGCCCCTCCCACATTTACACATGCAGCTGCACACTATGCAATCTCATGCTAATCACAGGAAAGTACTCCTTCCGTTTAAAAATATAAAGTATAATTAAATCTCACCTTCAATAAAGTTCTTACCTATTTTCAAACTTACCATATCTTTCTATATTTACCCTTATTAACTACCTTATAATAAATATAAAGTCACCATCAATAGGAGCATTTTTGAAAAAAGGCAATAATTACACCTCAAAAGACTAAAAATACTTTATATTTTTGAACATTCAACTTCTCAAAAAATACCTTATATTTTTTAACGAATGGACTATTTAGTCTCTCGAAGTCCCCCCTTTGTTTTTGTTGTGGAATCTATAGTGAGGTCATTGTGACATCTAAATTGTGAGGGTGCGTATGTGATAATTTATTATTCTTGCCATACAATCTAATTAAGTCACCTCAGCAAGTTACACCACGATATATCATGAAATTTTGAGAATTTTTTAGCATCACTCCTGACTTTTTTTATAATTTTTGGAAAAAGGATTTTTGTTCAAGGGTATTGTTTTATTTAGCTTTGGCTACTAGAAACCTTTACGCTTGAGAAAGAATTTAGGTCTCATTTGGTTATTGGAAAGCAATGGAATGGAATGGTTTAAAAAATTAATATAAAAATGAACTAAATCACCTTTTCCCCTCATAGTAAGTATGATAAAACTTATTAATATATACTACAAATGTCGGAATCATCATACCCTCCAAACATTTTATGAATCATGATTCTTGACCTCATGAACTAAATTACCCCTCTCCCTTATGAATATGGTTCACCATCTCTTTTAATTATCTCATTTTTACCTTCTTTTTTTCAATTCATTCCTTTCTAATAACCAAATGGGATCTTAAGGTTGTACCCATGGGAAATAATCTAAAAAATGAAAATAATGCAAGACTTATCCATTCTTTATTCATGTTTATGCCTAGAGAGCCAACATTTAAAAAAGCAGTCAAAAGGGGGGATTGTAATATGCCAAATTTTATTGAAGGATTTAATTGATTAGGCTAATTAGAGGTTAATATTTTGGCTTGGAAGGCCAATTAGGCCTTTGGAAGGGTCTAAAAGAGGGTTTAAAGAGTTAATGGGCTGAATTGGGCCCAGATTTTTGAACTCAAGTGATGCTGCCTATTTCAAGCTGTTCACTATGGTAAACAATGTTCCTCGTCGTAGCTAGCACATCAAAATTTTAAATTTGATGAGATATTCAAAAATCATAGAAAAAAGAGGTTTAAGGGTTTTGTTCAACAAGTAAAGAGCGACTTTGCTAGGATTTCAACCTAAAGGGTGATTTTTGAAGTATTTTGGGACTTCTATAGCATTGGATAAGCTTCATTATCTCTTCGTCTACATATTTTCTCTTCATTTTACTAATTTAAAGCATAGGGAAGTTCAGGTCCAAATTTATAGTGGCATTACAACCACTTCTAAGACATAAATGAGGTTTATTAATGCCATTTAATGCTCCTACACCTTAGTTTTAATTAATCGCAACTTTAAATGGAGGTTGAGGATTTAACCTAATCCTAAATAATTAAGTTTAAGCTAATTAGAGGTATTAGTAGTGACAATTAGAGTTAATTAATGAAGGTTAAATAAACTAATAGAAATTAGTTTTAGGTCTAGATATGCTTAATCACATTTCGCAAGGAATTAAGCCTTAATTATAACATCCTAATTTCCTACATCTGAAACTAATTGCTAATTGAACTTAAATTAGTAATTAGTGATGATTAGAATCTTGGATGACAATTTAGTATTTTGACTCTTTGGAATGTTAAATGAATAGATTCAAGCAGAAGGATTGCATTTTGAAATGAAGTGGGTATACATGGTGAGGATTTTCCTCATTATACCATGTGTCATGGCACAAGTTGTGTCTGCCACAGAACACAGCAAAGGGGAAAGGAGGAAACATAAGAGCAAAGGAGAGAAGAGAGCTTTGCTATGCTAGGGTGACAAATCTTAAGAGCTTGGGAGATATTTTTGGCCAATGGCTTACTATGTAAGTTTCATACCACTCTTAGCTTCAATTCTACACCAATTTCTCTTGGTATAACTTATAGAAAAATTGAATCGAGAAGTTTTAAGGGATTTATTTCTTACCCTTTGGTAATAAAAATATTCTTGAAAATATAATTAGGGTTTTGCAAATGATTAAGAGTTAAATGATAAAACTTTGAGATTGTAAGCTTAAATTTCCTCTAAACTAAAAGGAATGAGAATGAAGTTGTAGAAGAGGTGTGTTAGGACTGATAAAAGTGATAGAAAAGGGTGACTTAATTGTAATGAATCTAAACTAACCAAGTGAAAGGAATTAGGTAGTAATTTATGATTTTAAGTAATAATTAGTACTTGTGATCAATTTGGTTGATTGATTGATAGTACCAATTGTATGTAGATTGTCATGTTACATATGAAAGGAAGCTTGTGGAGACATTAATTGTCAGAAAAAAATACACAGGTAACCTTTTCTTGTGACAAAAGGGTTAAGGTAATTGAATAACTTACTCTATTTGATTATCTATTATAACTATTTTTTAGTACGATAGTTATTGCATGAAATGGTCTTCAGAATTGTGCATGTTTTGAGAAAATAAATGATTTTGCATGGAAATGATTTCAAGAAAATGGATTTATGAAAATATGTGACTATATAACTCTATATATAAATGTATACAGATTTGAATACAAACAAGTAGTTTGTATATGAGCATGATCGTAGAGAGTAGGAGTTCACCTATAAGGAAAAGTAGTGAGAAGTTCATATTATACCATTATCCTTAGTGCCTAAAGGGGTGCGTGTTAAAGAATTTCATCTCCTTAGTGCCATATAGTATACAGTGTTGGATATTTATGCCCTTTAGCATCTGTGTGATACGGTGTTAAAATAACGATGCCTTGATTATTATGTGATAAGGGAAATCATAGTTCAAAAGTAGAACACAACACCTTTGGCCGAGTAATTCTACTATTGAAGGTGCACTCAGGTCAATGAGTATGTATTGGCTTAATAAAGATTATGGTTTTAGTCAAAGTGACATGGAGGCTTAGTTGATAGTTGATCATGCTAGTGGTGATTGTTTTATGAGGAAATAGTTTTTATGAAGTGAAATTATATTATATGGTTTTACTAGTTTATGTATAAGCAGTACTTATTTACAATTACTTGTGATAATTAGTAGCAG